TTTTTTTTTTTTTCAACACTGTAGTACATGGACATCCCTCAGGAAAAGCTGTCCGGTGAACCGTTAAATCCTAACTGGCCATTGAAAGGAGAGATACAGTTTCATAACGTGACACTAAGATATATGCCATCCTTGCCCCCAGCATTATCGAATTTTTCTTTTAGTATCCCTGCAGGGAGTCGGGTTAGTCAACCGTCAACCATATTACATATTTTGCTCTCTACAAACATTATTATTATTATTATTATTATTATTATTATTTTTTTTTTTTTTTTACAAACCCCCAAAGATTACTAAGCAGCTCTCGTTCCAGCTAATATGTATCTTTCAAGTCGAAATTCACTGGCTTCATTTCCGTTTCATGGTTAATAATGTTTTTGTGAATTGACTTCTGAGTTTGAAAATACGTACCCGGACTGGCATTGGATCAGGTTGGATTTGTTGGAAGAACGGGCGCTGGAAAATCGAGCATCTTGAATGTTTTATTTCGTCTCAACCCGGTTTGTGGTGGGCGTGTTCTAGTGGATGGGTTAGATATTGCTCGAGTTCCCGTTAGAGATCTTCGGTCTAGCATTGCTATTGTTCCTCAGAGCCCTTTCTTGTTCGAAGGATCATTAAGGTAGAGCGAAGCACATTACGCAAGTATGAAATAATTTATAGAAGCCACTCATGGTTGAATTTTTTGCCTTCTCATTTGAGGTGAAAATGCATGATGATATTTTTGTACCTAATGAAAAGGCTGTTTCATATGCACATATGTTTTACCTGCACATGGGCTTTCAGGGCCAATTTAGATCCATTCGAAATGAGCAGCGATGAGAAAATATGGAACATTCTAGAAAAATGCTGTCTCAAGGAGGAGATTGAAGCTGCTGGGGGATTGGAAATCCATGTAAAGGAATCTGGAACTACATTTTCTGTCGGGCAACGACAGCTTCTGTGCCTTGCTCGTGCACTTCTCAAATCTTCCAAGGTACATAGATAGAGACTTCGAGAATAATTTGTAATTATGTAAATAGTTATAAATTCTTTAGAGTAGGCTTCGTAATTATATTGAAATTAATTCAGTTAAATTAAGGAAAATTTTCATGACAGCGATGTATGGATTTCTTCAGGTACTTTGCATGGACGAGTGCACGGCCAATGTGGACACTCAAACAGCTTCTAAGCTGCAGAGAGCGATTTCGAGTGAATGCCAAAGCAGAACTGTACTCATGATTGCTCATCGCATTTCCACTGTTGTAACCATGGACAACATCTTCGTTTTGGATCAAGGGATACTGGTTTGTATACTCATGTTTTTCGACCCCTTCAGTTTTGAAACATAAATGAGAAAAAAAAAAAAACAAAATAAAGCATAATTATCGGTGAGCTAACACTGAGAAAAGGCCAAATAGGAACTTGGACAACATGCAGTCGTTAAATTATAGAAACTCGCTAAGTTGGTTATTTGTTGCTGTCTTCCCAGGTTGAACAGGGGGACCCGCAGGTCCTTGCGCGTGACGGCTTGTCCAGGTTTTCGGGTTTTGCCAGAGCATCCGCTATGTAGTTTTCGAGATTCTATTGGCGAAATAGCAGTCGTGAATTGACTAGTATTTGATCCCAGAATGTCTGATGTTTTTAGATATATCCTTGATAAGTATCTTTAAACCATTTAGGTGGTGTTCTTTGGTTTTGATGATATTTAAGTTTTCTAGATGAACGTTATTTTTTTTTTTTTTTTTTTTTGATCGTCTAGATGAACGTTATTTGATGCACTTGATAGATGCACTTGATAGAAGATAGGCTATTTCGATAAACCGTAGAAGGCAAAAGTACTTCTAACAAGAAAAAAAAAAAATATTATTCAATATGAAGTTCAAATGTCCTAAAAACAAAGTCTCATGGACAATAAAATAATAAACTAGGAATAAAACAAATTAGTATAATAGAAGATATTGTAAATAATAAAAGGGCTAGGTTATTTTTGTTGTGATTTCTGTAGCCGAACACTCTTTGAACGATTCTTAATAGTTCAAAACTCGTCATTTAAATATTCCAGTCTCTCCCACTTGAAAAGAACCCGACCCTGATCCTATATGCATTATCAGTAATCTTATGCACAATCTCTTATGGACCATACTTCTTTGGTTGTGACTTATGACCAACCTCGAACAAGTTAACGCATTGATGCTTATCGGTCACTTTCTTAAATTTATGAGTCATCAACAAATTCTCACGAACTACCGTTTGTACGTCTAGCAAAACTTTAGCCAAATTTGATGTAGTCGTGCTATAACTAGCACTTCCGGCAACTTGACTAAATCAACCACATGTTAAGATACCTTCTGATAAACAGTGGTGAAGGTGACTTGGCTGTACAACTTTGATCGTACTATTGAAGACAAACTCTGTCTACAATGCACGATCCTATTCTTTCGGCCGATCACCACAAATGAAACTATTAAGGTTCTCAAGCGTCACCAAAACGTTGCCCTGCCGTAACGTCAGAATGCCGATCGCATGCGACCATTCAGTGAAAAAGATTTTCTAGTTTTAGTCGCATCAAGGAAGCTTTTCTTTACCGGGATTGGTCGCATCGGTTACTAATTCAATTGGCTTGGATGAAAGGGATAGGGATAACCAAAAACGCACCACACCTTAAATCGGGTCAAGTTATACTTGTTCAAGTTGATGATTAATGACCTCGGTCTGCACATCAGTAGGAGAGTGAGCAATACTACTAAAATTCAGCAAGGTATCAGACATATGGCACAAAGTCATCTAAAAATGACTATAGATGGCTGGAGAAAAACAAGTTTTCGTAAAAGCATATTGGCGACTATTTTTGTTGTGGTATCACAACAAGCACTGATGTAGCATACATAAATTTTGGTAGACTGACCTAAGTGGTATCTCTGGGTAGGTCGGTTTAGACAAGCTCCAGCTCGCTAAAAGGAAGATAAACTAGTTAAAGAGCTCGTAGAAGCGGCTCAAGGTACTGAATGACTAGATAAGATGACCACGAGGTAGTGACATCCAGGAGCTCGGACACAAAGAGTTACCTCGAAGTTTTATTGTCTATTAAAGGGCTCTTGATTTCTACAAAATGTGATTTGAATGGAAGTACCCCTTGGTATAAAGACCTTGATACTAACTGTGGGTCCCAACCTCAAAACTCAATGCGCGTACGTTGCCCGGGATTTGACGCATGTAATCTTCATAATTTCAATATGATGTATATATCCACGTTGCCCTGGCTTAGTTACTTATATTCGTGTTCAGGCTCTATCCGCCATCGTGCCAATGCTAGACCAGAATCTGAGTGGCTCCCGTCGCTTTGTTTCAGTTCTCGAGAAGGAGCTGCGGTCTATGTACTATGAAACAAGAGGTTGACCAAGCTGAAGCACGACCACACCCAGCAGCTCGCTAAAGATGGTCACCATCATAAGGAAGATATTATGGAGAAATACTTGGCGCTAGAGCAAGAGGTCACTCGTCGTGAGGAGGAGATGAAGAATGCGTTGGTCACCGGCATGGAGAGAGCTCGACAACTATTGTTCCAGAAAAACATTGGGTAGAACCTCATCAATGCGTACCGCGAACAGTTGTTAGACAATTACCATCGATCTTCTGCCTTCTTGTAAAAATGTTTTTTGGTCGTGGTTGAGTTTTACAAGATCGACTTGAACGAGGTTGATAAATAGATCTAGACTTCAGGTTTTAGCGGGACTCTCGACCGTCAGGCTATTTGGGATTATCTCTCCGAGTATCCCTTTAGTTACAAGGTTGATCACAGTCTCTCCGCAGAACATGTCTAGTGGACACAAACTTTTGATCGAGCCTTCGCTTGTGCCAAGCTGACGAAGAAGTTCGACCTCCCGCGGCCAAGTCCTGACTATTATGTTTCACCTCCTCCGGCTTAAGGAGAACTTTATGAGGCTCAAGCGAACCCCGTCGTGCCAGGATCTGATGCAGATGTTACGGGCAGACGAGCAGCCAACTTTCTCAATCGCCCCTCAGTCGACCTCAGATCCTCCTATCGAGCAGGCTCCGAATTCAGAACAAACTCCTACTATCAATTAGTAAATTGTTGTAACTTGTTTTGCTTTGTCGAACTTTGGTTGTTATTCTATCGGTCTTGTAAACTTCTTTTGTTTTGATTGTGGAACGATTTTTCTTTACTGTTTTATGATTTTCATGTCATTTGAAGCTACATGGAGAGGAATAAGAAACAACAATGCATGTTTTCTTTAAAAGTGTGGAACCATGCACCTATATGTTGGGAAGGGTTGTGCACTAAAAGTAGCTGGTTTGGTGGCTGGTGGGGGATACTTTGTGGTGTTGATAGTTCTGAGATTTCTGAAGCAAGGATTGAGCTTACTACATACATCCTTTGGTGGCATTGGAAATCCCATAACTTATCGACATTTGAGAATGTTTGCAGGTCAAAGTTAGGTGTTGTGAAGGCAAAAGTTGGAGATTGGATGGAAGTTGCACGGGTGAACTCTATTGCTCGAAGCTGAGGACTTGAAGAATTAGGTAGATCTATCTCTTTGGGATAGTTCAGTGGCTTTGTTTTGGTTCTACTCTTGTATTTTTTGTTTGTGGTTCAATTGTGTACTGGTTGGTTTTTGTTAATTCTTAGCTGGAAGTCTTAGTGTTTTTACTGCTTATGGTTAAGCATTGGTATTGTTGTTAGTTGGTTTATCTAGGCTACATGTGTTGTATGTCGTCCTCTCTGATTTGTGCCCTCGGCATTGGGTTGTACCTGTCTGTATTCGAACTTTGTATCTTTCTAGTGTTTTATGTGAGTTTTCCTATCGTTCTGTGAAAAAAAAAAGCTACGTGCTTCGACATGTAACTAAGGTCTCCTAAAATTACTATGTCATGAAATTTTTCCATCTCTATTTATCAGCCTGCCACCTAGGTCTCAGAGATAGCGATTCACCATAAAAGTTATGCCAAAGTAGTCGTTACTTTAATCGAGCTGCTGCTGCGGCCTCCCAATTTGGTTTATCAAAGTAAAATGTTTGAGTAAAAGCTACTTTAGTTATTCGACCTGCCACCTAGGTCTCCAAAATTAATACCATACTTGGGGTCACCCTGGTTAATTAACCATCCACTGAGGTCACCCATAATGGCTTCACACTTGAATATAAATTTGCCGTTTGTGTTATGTGTGTTGGACCCTCCTCTGAGGTCGTCGAATTTTGTATTTAGAATATGGTTATTGTGTCTTCCTCTTTTGTAATGTACTGCTTGATTATAGATCTGTGTCTCTCCCGCCTTTGAGGTTCACCAGTCATCCCGAGGGCCTTAGTCATGGTAGATTGTGCCCTTTCAACCTCCAAGTCTTCCGCGACCCAACACAAGGATCGACCAACCAACCCGAAGACCTTAATCATAGATTTTTATCTTTGATGCTTGCCCAACCCATCACTGGGGTTGTTCAAACAAGCGACCATCCAACTCGAAGGCCTTAATCATGATGGATTTTGTGGGATCTTTGATAATAGGTGTTTTTAGTCTTTGTGGGCATGTGATAACCGAGCTACCCGACTCGAGTCGTTCTCAAAGGAAGGCTATTTGGAGCTTCGTTCACTACCTAGTCGTCAAAATCACATAACCGGAAATAGAGTCCTACACATTCTACTTACTTAAAGGGATTGGATTTGCATGAAATTAAACTAAAAATCTAGAAGCAAATAATGAGAGATGCAAGATTTAAAAGAAAGATCGAAACTTTGGTTTCACAGAGTATCCATAACTCAAGAAAAAAAAAATAAACAAAGAGAAAACATGCTAGCATAGCGATCCTAGGTAACTGAACACGATATTTCTACACTAAATCATCACGCTTCAAACAAAGTCGAGTTCTTTACTAGATAAGTGTGTATTGGTTCCTAACATATGAAACAAACAATGAAAATAGAGCAAAAACCTAGAAACGAGCATAAGCACACAAATCGACAAAACAAACTCGAAGTAGAAGAGCCTAAGCAAGGTACCTACTCTCCTATTGCATGATTGAACGAAAATAGTGAATAAAGCTCGAAACTTGAATAAAAATAAAGTTACCGGAATTTCGCCAGAAAAGTAGAGTCATGGATCTCCAGCCAGAGCATAAAAAAATAAAAGAGAAAAAATAGAGAGGATTTCTCAACTTAAAAGTTGGGAAATGAGGGTGGATCCCCAAAATGCAAAGGAGAAAACATATATACAGTGTTCTCCCAAAAACACACACTAGGTGTACACACATTTAATGATTCAGCAGCTCGCAGGTCTCGAAATCTTGTTCGCGGCGAGTTTTGGAGTGAAAATGAACTGAAAAATGAATTTCGCAGGTCGCCAAATGATGCTCGCAACGAGTGTGTCCAAAGGTTGCCCGGGTTGCGCATCTAGCGGCTCGCGAGTGCGAGCTCGCAGCGAGTGCTACCTGGCTGGGGTGATGCGCGCGCCGTCCGATTCGCTACACGCGAGTAGAGGCTCGCTGCGAGTGCTGGGAAGATGAAGTGCAAGCTGGTCATCTCGCCGGGCGCCAATCCGTGTTGGTTGCGAGTGCCGAGC